AAAATGTCTCCCTCTGCCTATATGCACAGTAAATTTAAGCCAGTGTAAATGCATAGGTAGACATGCCCACTGAAAGCATGTGGTATTTCCGCTCTGTTTCAAATAAAATATATACAAATTACATGCCATCAAACTTCCTAGCATTTGAATTTGTCGGTAATTCACAAACAACAAAAATACAACCCCAGACTGAGCTTTCTTTTGCTAGCCTACCAGTTCTTAGCATTATCCACAGAGTGCAACACTACTGCATTGTAACCACCTCTTGTCTCTTCTGTCTAGAAGGTCATATCTTTATGAGGCCTGTTGAGCTTACAATAGGTCAGCAGGATTTAGCATCTTTGTGCAAGGCTCTACACTCTGTTGACAAGATTGGTAGCAGCAAGATGTCTGGAATATGACTATATAGAATTATAGCTCTGACCATCCTTGCACATGCCACTGATTTTTCTGGTATGTGTGTAAGAAACTATCTGGCACTGATGGGAGACTTGGAGTACACTGTCCAGTTTTCAGCCTCACACTTTAAGATTATGTGATAAATGGAGAGAGTCCAGAAATGAACAAGAGATAAGAGAGTTAGAAAACAATCTACAAGGAAACATTGGAAGATTTGGGCTCATTTGGAGTAGAAAAGAGAATAATTTGGAGAAGAGGGCATAACAGTGTAATGAGGGAATTAGCAGAGGTCATTGCGGGACCCCTGGCATGGCTTTATGAGCATTCGTGGTGCTCTGGTGTGGTGCCAGATGACTGGAAAAGGGCCAATGTGGTTCCTATTTTCAAAAAAAGGGAGGAAGGAGGACCCAGGAATCTATAGGCCAGTCAGTCTTACCTCGATCCTGGGTAAGCTTTTTGAGAGAATTATCCTGGCGCATGTCCGCAAGGGGCCAGCAGGGGAGGTTATGCTTAGGGGCAACCAACATGGGTTCATTAGAGGCAGGTCCTGTCAGACCAACCTGGTGGCCTCCTATGACCAGGTCACAAAATCCTTAGATGCATGGGGTAGCAGTGGACGTAGTCTTTCTGGACTTCAGGGAGGCCTTCGACACTGTCTCCCACCCCATTTTCATTAAAAAACTAGGGGACTGTGGCGTCGACACCTACCCAGTCGAATGGGTCGCTAACTGGCTGGAGGGCTGCACCCAGAGAGTGGTGGTGAATGGGTCATTTTCAACCTGGAGGGATGTGGGCAGTGGTGTCCCCCAGGGCTCGTTCCTCAGACCCACGCTGTTCAACACCTTCATCAGTGACTTGGATGAAGGGGTAAAAAGCACCCTGTTCAAATTTGCTTATGACACTAAGATGTGGGGGGATGTGGGCACGCTAGAAGGGAGAAATAGGCTGCAATCGGACCTAGACAGGTTACAGGGCTGGGAGGATGAGAACAGGATGGGTTTCAACACTGTCAAGTGCAAGGTGCTGCACCTGGGGAGGAAGAACCAGCAGCATACCTACAGGCTGGGGAACTCCCTTCTCATCAGTGCAGAGGCAGAAAAGGATCTTGGAGTCATTATTGATGCCAAAATGAACATGGGCCGACAGTGTAGGGGACGCGGTCAGGAAGGCCAACCACACCTTGTCATGCATCCACAGATGTATCTCAAGCAGGTCCAAGGAGGTGATCCTCCCCCTCTATGCGGCACTGGTCAGGCCGTAGTTGAAGTACTCCGTCCAGTTCTGGACACTGCACTTCAGGAGGGATGTGGACAGCATAGAGAGGGTCCAGAGGAGGGCCACCCGCATGATCAGGGGCCAGCAGGGCAGGCCCTACAAGGAGAGGCTGAGGGACCTGAACCTGTTCAGCCTCCACAAGAGAAGGCTGAGGGGGAATCTAGTAGCCGTCTACAAACTAGTCAGAGGGGACCAGCAGGCATTGGGGGAGTCCCTGTTCCCCCGAGCACTACCAGGAGTGACAAGAAATAACAGTCACAAACTGGCAGAGGGTAGATTCAGACTAGATATCAGGAGGTGCTGCTTCACATTCAGAGCGGCTAGGATCTGGAACCAACTTCCAAGCGAAGTGATGCTGGCTTCTACCCTGGGGGTCTTTAAGAGGAGGATAGACGAACACCTTGCTGAGGTCGTTTAACCCCAGTACTTTTTCCTGCCATGGCAGGGGGTCGGACTTGATGATCTGCTCAGGTCCCTTCCAACCCTACCAACTATGAAACTATGAAACTATAATCTGTAAAATCAGGCAGTGATTGCTTTGTCTCTGTGTTCACCGAAAACAGTATCAGAAGTAATTGACTACTAGGACAAACTTTCTAACTATAAGAACATCTCATCATTTGAGGTTTTCATTAGCAAGCTAGGCAAATATCTATGAGAGCTGGTGTAACTTTAACTGATCTTGGGGGATGGTTTACATCAGGGGTGTCAAACTGGTTTGGCCTCTCGGGCTGGATCCAAATTCTAGGACTCCTCAGCCTCTCTAAGAGCTCCTTGGGCTAATGACAACTCTGTGGGCTGAATCTGGCCTGTGGGTTATATGCTTCACACTCCTGGACTAGGTGATCCTTTGACCCCCTTTCCAGCTGTATGATCCTATGAAACAACATGTCATTCTGCCTTTTTACAAGACGTGCCTACCAGCTCAAGAATTACAGTAGAGAAACAGCCTTTACAGTTATGTAATATTTGGCCTCATTGTTTTGTAAAGACATAATGATCAGCTGTGTCCATTTATCACTCTACTGCAATTGGGGAAGCCAACACAGTATGTCTTACTCAGTGATGCCATTATCTCATGAACAGTCTTAACTGCAACAACATGTTCCAGCAGGATCTTGTTTATAGCCTGGTGTGTTTGTTTCAATGTAGCTGTGTCCGCATGCCAATGAGCATGTGGAAAGCAGCATTCAATGCTTGTAGTCAACATCCAGAGAGCTATGTGCCAAGAGTGGGCCTGGCTCCAGAGAAATATAAAGGTGGCCTCTTCTTCCAAAATTCTTTAGCCATTCATTGTTGTCTTAGTTCTACAGCACTACCTCATTCCACCAATACATTGAGTGCACTTTGATCCCAATATGGTATTCCATAAAGGGGGCTGGAGGGGATACTGGCATCTATGTGCAACAGTTGCACATAAACAGAGGTAGTCACTGCCAGTGAGCAAATCTGAGTTGGTAACTAATTAGATCAAGATGAAAGACATCTCTACTGGGCCCTGACAAAAATACTGTTTGGTTGTTCACTACTTATAAGAGATTATATTGCTTAAAGTATATATTCTAAAAAGATACCTCTTTTAAAATAGGTACAAAAAGAACAATAAATATCACTACTCACTGATGCCATACTTTTTCCGATAATATTCTTTGGTAAATTCATCACAGTCACAGAGTATGATCTTCCTTCCCCAAACATTGATCACTGACCCTATGGTTAGGTCACAGTCTTTGTAAAACTCCTGATGCACTGCCCCTGTCTAATGAAAAAAGCATTTATAAAGCAGATGTGTGTGTCTCAGAACAACACAGAACTGTAAAAAAGTGGAATTTTAAATGTTTGATAAAAAGAACTTTTCATATTTCACTAGATAGGTTTCTTTTACCCCATTCTAAGCTAAAAAAAAAAATCACAAACACTGCCTACTAAATTTCAACATTGCTAACTTAAGCCATTTTACAATGGTGGCACCCTCATACAAATGACCATTTTTGTTTCAGACAACAGTTTTAGAATTCATAAAAAGCAACCATAATTACATTCAACAGCCTGCAGCAGTCAATAGTAGCTGACCTTACGATTGTCCAGAATGTAACGTCCTTTGTTTCCTACTAAACCTCCAAATACATTGAGAACAGTGCGATCTGTGATTGCACCAGGTGGATACAGCCCAGTTGGAGCATACTGCAAAGAAAAATACTTGTTAAAAACTACAACGAAGAACAAATGAAGAGCTCAGTAATCTCAGAACCTGTAGGTTTACAATTGATACCAGACTGTTTTTATAATATTTTTAATGAACATAAGACATGTTTATGATACTAAATTTCCAGTATACATTTCCAAACATACTTTTAATCTTATTAGGTATATCAAATAGCATAAGACAGCACTATGTAGAAAGACTCAAGACAGCTCTGAGTGAACTAGTTTGTGTACCAGAAGCAGTATAGCTTGAGTTATTATTATTATTTAGATTTATTGTTAGGGACCTACCAAATTCACGGCAGGAGTGGGGTATGTGGCAGCTCCTTTTATTTTGCAGGTTCCCCCGTGTGCCTGCCCTCCCCACCACACTTCACAGTGCTTGCTGCTCACTCCTCATTCATGGGAAAGTGAAAACCACAGTTTTAAATACATTGCTGTTTTTGCCTCCCAGCCACTCAGCAACAAACTATATGGCTGCCAAGGCCCCTTGGCCAATCAGCAGCAAGCGGCAAAAACAGCGCCATATTTAAAACTGCGGTTTTTGCCTCCCTGCTGATCAGGAGTGAGCTGTGAGCAGCGGGCCCCTCCACCAATCAAGGACGTGGGGGGCGCACAAGGGAACCTTCAAGATTAAAGGAGCTGCTACACAGCCCGTTTCCATCGTGAATTCAGTAGGTCCCCATTTATTGGATAGATGAATGGAACCCGTCATTTTTTTTAAGAACCGGGTATGGTACTCCTCCTGGGCTAATATACTCAACCAAACAGCAGAGCTAATTAGCCCAGACAGAATATTGTGCTAAGGTAACTAACCAGCTGCCAGTACTCATTAGTTCATTTGTTGTTCCCTGAACACTGTAATGTACCATGTAGCTATACCCTTTCATAGCTTTCATAGACATTAGGGCTGGAAGGGACCTCGGAAGATCATCGAGTCCAGCCCCCTGCCCAAAGGGCAGGAAGTCAGCTGGGGTCATAGGATCCCAGCAAGATAAGCATCCAGTTTGCTCTTAAAGGTGTTCAATGTAGGTGCTTGAACCACCTCCGGTGGCAGGCTGTTCCAGACCTTGGGGGCTCGGACAGTAAAGAAATTCTTCCTTATGTCCAGCCTGAAACGGTCTTGTAGTAGTTTATGACCATTCGACCTAGTCGTCATCCCTTGGGGCGCTCTGGTGAACAAACGTTCCCCCAGATACTGGTGGTCACCCCTGATAAACTTATAGATGGCCATCAGATCACCCCTGAGCCTGCGCTTTTCCAGGCTAAAGAGCCCCAGGGCTCTCAGCCTGTCATCGTAGGGTCTGCTTCCCTGACCTCCAGGCTAAAGAGCCTCAGGGCTCTCAGCCTGTCATCGTAGGGTCTGCTTCCCTGACCTCTGATCATGCGCGTGGCTCTTCTCTGGACTCTCTCAAGCTTCTCCACATCCTTTTTGAATTGTGGAGCCCAAAACTGGACGCAGTACTCCAGCTGCGGCCTCACCAAGGCCGAGTACAAGGGGAGAATGACGTCCTGGGATTTGCTTGAGAAGCATCTATGGATGCAAGCCAGCA